AGTTCTCATAACTTTTTTTTGATTTTGTAACACTTTTTTTGATTACTATATGATTCCATATGTGTTATTTCATCGTTTTGATGTTTTCACTATTATTCTACAATGTAGAAAAAAGTCAACATAAAGAAAAACCATTGAATGAGTAGGTGTCCAAACTTTTGACTGGTAGTATATATACAGGGTCAGTTCCAATACCATATTTACAATGTGCTGGGATACTGGAGTGATAGAGATAGATATGACACCTTCTGGAAACAGAAGACACTCTACAAGAATGACGGTCCTTCCAAATAATCTTGGCTCCTGGACTCTGTCCACGCATTTCAAGGCCGTGTTGAAACAATGATTTATCAATGACCCAAGACCATCTCAGTTAATCCCTACCATTGTGACAATGAGTCGTCATAATGCTGCATCAAATGTACATTATCCTAGGGGCGGACACAATGTAAGTAACTTAATTTATGTTCCCCTAATTACCTCTGTTTGTCCTACAGCTATTGTATTTATTTATATTTAACTAGACAAGTCAGTTAAGAACAAATTCTTATTTACAGTGACGGCCTACACCGGCCAAACCCGGACGACGCTGGGCCAATTGTGCACCGCCCTATGGGACTCCCAATCACGGCCGGTTGTGATACAGCCTGGAATCGAACCAGGGGGTCTGTAGTGACGCTTCAAGCACTGAGATGCAGTGCCTTAGACCACTGCGCCACTCGGGAGCCCAACAGTATGCAGTAATCATGAGCCTATGAACCAGAGTTATACTGTTATCACTGAGGAGGTGTGCCCTCTGTGGACTTTATTTAACTAATTATGTGACTTCTAAAGGTAATTGGTTGCACCAGATCTTATTTAGGGGCTTCATAGCAAATGGGGTGAATCCATATGCACGCACCACTTTACCGTTATTTATTTTTTAGTATTTTTTTAAACAAGTTATTTGTTTAATTTCACTTCACCAATTTGGACTATTTTGTGGATGTCCATTACATGAAATCCAAATAAAAATCCATTCAAATTACAGGTTGTAATGCAACAAAATAGGAAGAACTCCTAGGGGGATGAATACTTTTGCAAGGCACTGTATTTAAAGACATGGATGACATGCACACATGCATGAAAGATTCTTACATGTCTCTGTCTGTCCAGGTGATAGGAGGGATGGGGACGGTGCCTGGTCATTGTCTTCTAGCTGAGCCATGTGTCTCCCACAGGCCTGAGCCAATCCTCTGCTACCAGGACCCACCTCTGTCCAACACACATCATCATTTGAAAATGAAATCATCTCCAACCAGAAAGCTGGTTGCAATTTCAGTTTAATCCATCAGAAAAGGCTGACGAAATATTATAACAAATGTTATGGTTAAACCCAAATATTCTAATTGATAGAAAACCATTATTTTGGGAAAAAAAATTAAAAAAAACTGTATAATCTTTGTACAGTGGCTTGCGAAAGCATTCACCCTCCTTGGCATTTTTCATATTTTGTTGCCTTACAGTGAGGGAAAAAAGTATTTGGTCCCCTGCTGATTTT